GGAGAACCTTGCATTTTTCAGTGTTAAATACCATCAGGTTGTTCCTTAAATGTGAGATATATCAAAGAATTAAACTGGGCAGGAGGTTGAAATTGAACATTTTTCATTGCACATAAAAGTGAAGTGCTATCACTGGCATCTTATTTGATCCCAAATATCTTCTCTGTAGGGATTCTTCTTCACCAGTCTTCTGGTATTTAATATAGAATTTACAGAACTTTACTCAGTCTAAAGGGTTTTGTAGTAGACTAGAATACAACGCAATTCTTTAACGTTTCTCTGTAGACCGGAGTTGTGCTAATTTGGCTAATTGGTGCTTTTCTCTGAACCCCACAAATGCTCCTTAGGTACCCAGTTTTTTAATGCCCCAGCCATTTCCCTGCTTCCTTCCACTCATCCAGCACCACGTGGCTCCTGGCTGCATCACCAGACCACGGGAGCAGGGGCCCACACGCACACCCTAGCATACACATGCACCCACCCCCACCACTTGCACTGCCATACACGCAGGCCCTCACACCTCCCCAGCCACCCTCCCCCATACACAGCCCTCCACAAAGCCCATAGCCATCCACAACCCACATACCCACAGACACACACTCCCCCACGTACTCATATACCCACAGCCCCCCAAAACCTATACTCCAATATATGAGTAAGACTTCATTTTAAACTATTATATACAATCACCTGTATGTACAGTACACAAACGCATGTAAACCAGGACAACAATAGTTTTTTAAATCAAATTGATGTTTTAGACGTTTGCATTTTAAAATACAATTTCGTACTTTTCTGGTTCCGAGATGGCAAAACCCCTTGCTTTTCTGGGGATAAGGGGAGGAACTTCTGGGGGCAAAGGTCAGGGGTTAGGGTGCAGGACTTCCAGTCACAAGATGGTAACCAAGGGGCAGGGCACCTGTCAAGGGGTGGGGCTACCCATGCGGCCCTTGACAGCTTGCCAAAACTTGGTAAGCAACCCTCCACCCAAAATAATTGCCTGCACCTGGGTTGCATATTTATGAAGACCTAGGTCTCACGCACTGTTTTTATCTATTTTGCTTGGTACCTACTTGATATTTAATGTTCTGTGGAAAGTTTGGGAAATTTCTCCAATATTTTTATGGCAAGTGCATATGACTCAGTTTACCCACTTTTGTTGCAGTGTGGCCTCCTAGGATAGCAGGATTAACTTATCTAGAATGAGATAGATTTAAGCAAGTTTCAGTTGGTATTAATGTATAAAGGCTTGTCAACATGCAAATCACATTATTCTGGAGAGAATGTAGAAGATTAATGACCTGACATCAACTTTTAAACAAGCAAGGGGGGCTGAATACGTAAAAAAACTGTGACTGTGTTTTGAAACAAAAACAGGTTTCTGGACACACACAAGAATTGGCTGCCTAATGGAATGCCATGAATGGAGTTATCAGGCAGAGAATGCTGCTAGATGTGCATGCAAATAGCCTTTGCTGTTCAATTCTAACATAAAAACTAATACGCTCTATTGTGGTTTACTAAAAATGCTGCCCTGCATAGGAAAGGCTCCCTGATAGTTGCATGGATTCATATGCAGTTGAGTCTATAGTGAAGAACAGGTGCTGAAGCTAGTGACCAATCTTGGCAAAGTGGAACAGTAGGGCTAACTTGCAAAAAAAAAATGGGGAGATGGCAGTCTACAGCTTCATACTAAAGGAATATAATCCTGACCTTGAGAGACAGTGTAATAATGGAGGTATAAGTCAATGTGTAGAACCTTGACGGACTTTTCAGTGCTAGTCCTGTTCTTGACATAGCAAAGTCAAGCTATAGACTTACAATTTGCCAGGGGGTAAAAGAGGGCAGGGTTTTCCTTTGGTAACTACCAAGGTGTATTCATGTACTGTGATTTAGTTTCCACTTATTATGAGGGTAACATAACCCTCAGGGAAAGAGATCCAAAGTACTACCATTTAGTTTCCACTTACCAGAGGGCAAAAACATGCATACAGGCAACTAGCAGGGAACAGGTGAAAAACTAAGGTCTGCCCATTTTTTACCCCATTGTAAACTATATATATGTCCATGCTAGAAAAGCTTCCTATATTATGGGGCTTCTACTACCAGTCTGTTCAGCAAAAATCCTTAGTAGAAATGTGGCTTCTGGTTGCAAAGTTTGGTTTTGTGATTTTTTTTTTTTTTAATCTCTCTACTAGCTTTGAAAGACGGTAATTCTGTCCACTGAAGTCAGAAAAATGTTATAGCTGCATTAGCGCACAGAGTTTTACTCAGGATATAAATACCCAATTGTTCTGGTACAATGTTTGTTTTGTGACTCAGTATTGATCTTATCAAAGTTCTTATCTGTGTCACTTGGCACTTAAGTCCTCTGTTGCTCAGTTGTCTTATGATAAGATCAAGAGTTCAGCAAACATCAAAAAATAGACAGGCATTTATACAGAAAATTGGAAAATCCACAATTGCGCTAGTATTAAAAAAATAATAATGTCATAAACCTTGCAAGTATAAGCCAGTTACCCCCAGTTTTAGGACAGCATTCTTCACTCTGAACAGTTAATTCATAATGGTTCATCTGGGGGATTTTTGCACATCTTCCTGCACGAGATGGAACAGGCTACAGTTAGTGACATATTGGACTAGATGGGCCACTGATCTGGTATAGCAATTCTTACATTCCATAGCTGATGCTAACTTTTAGAAAAAACTATTCGGTTGGGCTTATTTCAGAACATACAGTTATAACCTTGACACTGTAGGTGGCAATGTGTATACACAGTTAAGTACTGTGAAACTGTAAAAAAAAAAATCTTCATTAGAATGCTTCTATCCTGAACTGCTGGTGAAAATTCAGGCAGGTGACATCATGAATGTTAATCATTTCCTTACTGTAATATATAAATGAAGCCAGATCAAGTTACAAGTTCTTGAATACAAGGTGGTATACAAGGTCTTCGATTGAATTACTGAAGAAATATTTTTTCTGAGTTTTCAGTCCATCTGTTTCCTGCCATCAAAGATTTTCAGTTTAAGCACATGGAAATTTGCAGTCATTGTTTCTTTGCACTGTTTCCATTAGTTGCAACTGCAAAGCAAGCTTTATCTGATTGTGTAGTGGATGGAAACTGCGGACTAAAATTTAATGGTTGAAGTCTACATGAAGTTTATTCTTTAGTCATGGAGATAAAGACAGTAAGTATGCTAACTTAGAAAAATGAAGGTTCCTACTAGTGACATTGTTTAACTTTTGTATATGGGTATTACTAAACGCATTTGAATTGTATGAGTACATTTCTGATTCTTACAGCATAACTTTATAAATATCTTTTTCAGTAGCTAGTAATGTAAATATGCTTGCTAATTAAAATTGTCATATATTTGAAATGTTTATTTTTATGGGTTTGATTTCAACATAATAAGTAATATAGTTTTTAATCACTAATATTCTTTCTAGAGTTTAACTCACATACCTATTAACCCTTTTTAAATTGAATTATATCCAAAAATCACGGAACAAATATGCTTAAACTCATTCTTCCTAAATTAAAATGATAAAAATAATATTTTGTAACTTGCTCCAGAGTAAAAACTATTTCCCTGTTGAAGTAAGAACTGTTTCTTAATGCTGGTGTTTATTACTAGCTTCTGAAAACATTTTGATAGTCATATTATTTCATAATGAAATAGCTATCCTTGGCATTTTATTGAATGGGCAGTTAACTGGTGAAGGTAGGAACATGGACAGGTTAAGCACTTTCTCTTTATTCAGTTTTGTTTTATGAAAAAAGGTGTTTTAGGCATTTGATTGAAACAGGATGGAAATTAAAACTGCTTGAGAATTAACAGGATGTGTAAGAGAATTTTTTTAAAAGATGTGGTATTTAGTCAGTTCAGCCTAATGTACCTAAGGAAAAAGTTAGAATCCTATCCTGTTTTCACTTGTAAAGCCATTTTCAGACAATATTTGATTATGCATATAATTATATTTGAATGTCCTTGATAAAGCAATGCCAAATATTCTTCCAACTCAATTGAAACCTATACAAATTAACCTCATAAAATTCAGCTCTAAATGTAAATTCTGTTTCTCTAGCATGAGATTATAAAATATAGACTTCCTTTTTGACCTTTTAACCCCCACCCAAATTATGTAGTTTATCACTTTTTTCATATCCTTGTCTTGAAATGTCACAAAGAATAATTATGTTTCTTATTATAATATGTGCTGTGCATATTATTTTGATATACAACAGATGTAACCTAAATTCCACACAGCTGCATGACTGTCCATTATAAATCAGTGGCTTTTGATTGGGCAATATGACAGAATCTTGCTACTACATACACATTGGCATTATTAATGTCTTTTTTTCACTACTAAGTGTTATGAATGATGGAAAATCCTCCATCATGCAATGCTGGCACAGCATACTTCAGCTCTACTTCTTTACTTCCATATGGATAACATGCTGTTTCTGGAGCCTGCAAGTACTGAAGAAAAGCATTTTGCCACTTCCCTTGTTTTCAAAATTCTCAGTCAGAAGCATCCAACACATTCCATATTGAGCCAAATACTTCACTTACACTCAGACTCTGTAGTGATAACATGAAAGGAAAAATAATGAAAAAGTAGAAGCGTCCTGTAAAAAATCAGTTTAATCTTGTAACTGCAGATCCCAAAGTGCCTTAAGCACCACTGGATGGCATGATTGTAGGATGTAAGTGAAGTTGCTTTGTTGTCTTAACTAGGGTATATGTATATTCCACTACACATGTTTTTGGGCCCTGTGCATTTAGGTTTGAAGTTGTAGTCAGCAGTGTCCATTAGAAATACACATGAGAGCTGAGTGTCCAAATAATCCTATAGTAACAATGTTAGGGGAAGAGTTCAACCACTTTGTTCTTTTTTTGGTGTAGGGTAGAGTTCCCTGTATCGGCATTTCAGGGCATCCCTTTTTCCTAAAGAGCTGGATTCCATGAGCTTAATTTTATATTTATATATCTTATATTTAAGATATATTTATTTTTAATGTCTAAGTCTATCTATACTCAGTGTTAATGATTGGAAGACTTAAGCTACACATTTGCAAACACAGCTTTTTAGCTGGTAGATCAAAATGACCTCTACTTTCTACTACTCCATTCATAGCATCTGATGAAATAAGCTATCACCTACAAAAGCTCATGCCTCTCTAAACCAGTTAGTCTCCAAGGTGCCACCCTACCCTTCCTTATCTGCCTGACTTGAGGCTAACATGGCTAACTAACCCTCTCAGTTAGTCTTCGAGACTCAAAATATCTAAATATCACTAGAGATCTGTGGTATCTTTGTCCACATACACAATCAAATTTGTTCCTCATATTCAAGTGTGTAACTTCCTTTTAACTCACAAGTAGGAGCACTATTTGTACAGCAGAGAGTAAAATTTAACCTGCATTATATTATATGAGCTGTAAGTAGCAAGATAACTTGATAAGTACCTTTTAGTTTTTTAATTAGTTAATCAGTCCTTTTTTTACCATTGGCAACTAAGTAAATGAGATAAAAGAGAGAGAGAGACTTCCTTGGCCCTGACTTGCCTCTGAGATTACTGGATTCAAGTATTTCCCCTGGTTTAACTGTGCTATACCAGCTATTAATGGACTACCAAAATGCTTCTATGGCTTGGAAAAAATCCACAGCCTGGGAAAACACCCCATCTGCAAATCATTCACTTTTTAAACCTGGGAGGAGGAGGGGGCAAGATTGTAAGATCCAGTTCCTATGCAAATCAGACCCAAGGTTACCAGGTCACCCTGGACAGTCCTCCCAAAATGCAGCAATTCAAGTGCATGTTCTTTACTAGTCTGTCAAAACTAGAAAGGAAAACCACCCGTCATTTCAGTGGTTCTCAATCTTTTTAGATTCAGATACTTCTTGTTAGACTCAAGAAACTCCTTGGAAACTGTCAGCTCTCACCTTTTACTCACTTTTTGATTATGGAAAAGTATTGAGCAATTATTCTGTAGCAAAGAACTTAGGCGACAATAGGTAAAAATTTTGTTGACACTATGGATTTCTGTTCCAAATCTCTGGATTTATCTTATTTATTGCATCACACTAACTGCACATGTAGATGCACCCAGTGTACTTTTAATTTTTCAAATTAAACTGCAAAGAAATCCAGGTAAGGGAAATTAGAGAAATGGCACTTCCTGAGAATGGTTCAATCCCACCCTTTAAAGAACATACTGCACCTTTCACACATGTAGAACTGTTAATGAATGCAACTGTCTTCAAGTCACTCCTATAAATTGCTTGTTGAAGGAAGAAAAACTGTAGGAGAGGTTATACATTTCCATAGCAGCACAAGAAATTTGCATGGCAAATGAAAATTTCTTTAAGGCTTTGTGCATGAATCACTTATACTTTAATAGCTTCACCTTCGTTATATTGCCTTCTCACAGCATCAATAAAACAGTGGCTATAAGAATATTCCAACATCAAATGTATTCATATGATCTCTTTTAACTCCCTTCCAACTCTACTTTCACTGCCAGCAATATGAACTTCACACAGTATATATGAACTTCACATTGTAGACCAGGCTCTCATATAGACTTGATTCATGGGACTCACATAGTTCTACAAGAAAATTATAGCACAGAAACAATCATAATTATAAATGATAGTAAGGGTCACAGTTGTCAAGATGGAGAAAGGAACTGTATACTTACCAATAAGTATTTAATTACTCATTCTCTTTACTGCTTCAACCCTTATTTTTGAGAACTTGATTAAGTACTAAGGGGAAGGTAATTATTAAATATGGAGACTTATAAAATCTCATTTCTCAAGCTTATGTATGGAAAAGATGAAACTAAGAAATGTGCTAGAAAATCCCTTTGTAGCAGTTTTGTATGCATGTCAGAGAGGTCTTCGCTCTGCATAAATATGTACATTCCTCTGGATTTTGCCAGTCGGTGAACTATGCTTGTAAGTTTCTTAAATATCATACAGGATTCATCAGGTTGGGGTGGATTTTATTTTTGGATGTTGTATGGAAACGAACAAGTATTAGGCTTCCTGTAGTCATCTTAATCATGTAGAGAAAATCTAAAAGCCATAAAGCTGGAAAAGTGCATTGGCTGTTTATAAATCTTTTTATATTGAGAAAATACAGAAGATACTGCTTATATGATATCTTAATTGTGGTCAAATGAAGACAGTGCTCAGGTAGAGAATTATAAGCTGGGAAATGGCTACCATGAAGACAATTTTAATTGGCTTCAGAAAAACTCTGACCCAGTTCATTCACTGCTGTTACCATGCTTTGTAGTAAGAAATACTAACTTAAAGATAGGAAATGAAACTGGAATGCAAAGCCAAAATTAAAGGATGGTTAAAAAAACCCTCCCTGATCAGAAGGTGAGTCTTACTGAACTAGGATTGATTTTTCTATGAGGATAGTAGTTCAGACACATGCATAATGTGGTAAAGGGGTAAACTCTGTTAACGTAAGTGGTTTGACCTACCAAGTAAGTAAGAAAATCCATCTGTCAGATATTGGAGAGCTTGATGCATTTAACGTGTGTGTTTTCACCAAATATGTACTATTTTTATTATTTTTGTGCTACATCAGATAATGCATGCTGGGTCTTGTATCAGCAATGTCAGGGAAGGAGTAAAGATCTGTCATGACTTGGGAAAGATGTAAAGTAAAGAAGACAAAGCCTGGAATGAGGTGTAAGAAACTTGGTTCTGTGAACATGCTAAATGGTATTAAGATACTCTGTTAGTCTTTATTCAGGCGAACACAGGCAAATGTCTGCCTCTGGTTCTCAACCTTTTTAGACTCAAGGCACACCCTCATTAGACTCAAGGCACCCCTCAGAAAATATCAGCTCTTAGTTTTCACTTGATTTTTGACGACAGAAAAATAATAGGGCAATTTTTTCGGTTGCAAATAACTCAGAAAGACAACAGCACGTGAGAATGTTTTTAACACTGGATTTCTATGTTCAATTTCTGTGAAGCATGTTTGCACAGCGCTAACATTGTATGGCACTGCAGCACTCCTGAAAGGATCTCAAGGTACCACAGAGTGCCACAGCACCCTGGTTGAGAATCACTGGTCTACCGGGTCAGAACGCCACTGAAATCTATGAGGCACCAAATAGGTGCAGAGGTACACCTGTGCACAGACCATTGA